GAATGTACTCCTGGAACAGACAGGGAATATTCTTCCTGTTCTCATCTACGTTCAGAATTAGGAGCAGGGGAGGTGGGGAGAACAGAAAGGAGGATTTAACAAATAGGGTAAAACGCTGAATGTCACAGAAGAGGGAAATTCAGTAAACAGGGGACAGATTCAACCACATATTGCTTGTTATGGTAACAACTGTGAGTTTCATCCAGCTGAATCCTAAGCACCATCAATTCTATCTGTCTTTAGTAAAGTGCTTAGCCCATTAGCACACTCCCAGGGATACTGTGCTGTGCTATCCCTCTGGATGGGAGCTGGCACAGATCTATACAAGTCCCTGCTGATTAATATCAGAGAATATCTTTAAGTGAGTTGGACACTCACTAAAGATGCACTTTCCATACCAGTGAAAAGGCACCATGATAATCCCTACAGGACTAACAAATAGCATTTATCAACTGTATGAGAAGGAGGTACAGAAATGTTCAGCAGGAGCTGAAACAGTAAAACCTCAGAGTAAATTCCCAATTCTGCAGGAATTTACTCTCACTTTAGTATTTTTCTCAGCCAACCCTAAACAAGTTAACCTTATTTTCCTTTCAAAGCTGGTGAGAAGGGTATTATTGTAATTTTTCCCCCCACATATCCAGTGTAAAAGCTTAATGAAACTGTCTACAAAAATGATTTATGCTCCTCAATAAAAGAAAATAAATCAGTCTAGTCCCAGGAGGAGGTGGAGCGTGGAAGGAAAGGGGTCCATAAGCTGGCTGCCCATCAGCTCAGATCAGGCCCTAAGGAAGGTGTCACTCTCAAGAGGTTGCTGTAGGATGATCTATACAGGAAAAAATGGAAGATGGTTTCTAATTGTCATCAGATGAGGACAGAGAAGAGAGACTGTGCCATCCTGTTACATCTGCACTGCCTTCCTCCTGATTCTTCACAGTAACTCCCTGCTTGCTAATCAGCATCAAACACTGGGCACAGTAACACTTGCTGCCTCAGAAATCAAGTGCTCCGCTGTTTGTAAGAGGAAATATTAAACCTTATGACAATTTAAAAAAAATTAATCAAACTACAGGCCCATTTCCTCTGCCCTGACATTTGCTCTGTAAATATTTCCACCAAAGCACTGCCACCAGCAGGGAAAGGAGGCTCTTCACTCCAAACTGAACATACCCATGGGCACAACAGAAAGTTTAGCTAATAAAATGTTATTCCAAAAGGCTCAGAATCAATTCAGATTCTTCTGGCACTCGGCAATATTCTTCCAGAGACCAACCAGGCACAGTGCAGGCTGTCAAGTGATTTATAAGTAGCATCTAGAAGCCTCTGTTGGGATTCAGCACTCTGATGGAGAAAACAGTGTTTGGTCTGAAATTCTCATTTCCTAAGCAGATAAAATAAATAGAATGTAGTGGAAAGGGTTCATTATTATTCCCATTTACAGAAAGAGAGCAGAGCCCAAGAGATCCTAAACGCTTTGCTCAGGGCCATTCACAGAGTCTGTGGCAGAGCTGGAAGTCACACTCTGATTTCCTCATCAAGCACCACGTCACAAGCACAAGCCAAAGTGCTGAGCCACAAGCCTTAAAGCCACGCTCAATTTCCTCACCAAAATCCCAACCACAGCTGCCTTTACAATCATCACTTACAGGATGAACATGCCTCCAACATGTGGTTTAACAGGATGGTTACAGTTTGCAAAGAAACCCTCCGTGACCACATTCAAACTTCAGTGTCAACCAGAAGATGTTCCCCCTGTTCTCCCAGGGAAATGGTGCCACTGCCACTTCCCAAGAGCCCACCCTGTGCAAATAAGGCTGACAAAAGCCCTCTTTTCCACCAGTGAAAGTGGTTTCATGACACGCTGCTCTGAAGAAGCTGCATTTCTCCAGCACTGTGGCTTCACTCCACTTCTATTTTTAATCATGATATTGGTATTTTTTTTTCAATTCTATCAGCAGTGAGAAAATGCTGCTGTCAGCAGTGCATCATCACAATTCTCATCTCTGGTGGACTGGCAGCTTAGAAGGAACATCAAGAGTCAGAAGAGAGATAATCATCAGTGGCACAAGGCGTTTTCCAGAAAATCTTAAATAGATTTCAGTTACTTAGTGCAGTGCAAGGATTTTCAAAATGATAGTGAGGAATTGGTTTCTCTTCAGCTTTGCCATTCTATCAGAGAGCTCACTGGACATACAAGCTAATGCTATGAACGGGGGAAACAAAGGTTTTACACAAAATTCCACTTTAGTCAGGAGCTTTTGCTGAATAATAACCCAAAAATAAGTCCCAGGGAAAAAAGTCGTGACTAACAGATATTTCAGCTACCGTGACACATTTTGTAGCAGTGACAAAGGCCTGTAACAATTTCCATGAAATGACAAACAGCCTTGACTCTCAAACACCCAACATACACAGTGAAAGGGCAGGACAGGGAGGCATCAGCAACCAGTTACTTTTTACAGAATGAAGTCAGTGTGATTTTGGATATTTAATTTTGATGGGTGGTGGGGCATTTGACACCCGAAAAGGAAAACCCCTGATACCAGAGGATACTAATTATCCCGTGATCCAGGCATCTTATTTCTCCCGTGGCAATCCAGGAAGGCTCGGGTTTTGTAATCATCCATTGCCAAAACCAACATTGTTGTGCTTATACATTCATTTCATGCTCAATATCCCACACCTGCCTAAACTACAGTGCCTGTGCACATCTGACATACCCAAAATAGAATGTGCTGACGTTCAGAGAGATACATATTGTGTATATATGCACAAGCACACACCTTGCTGGTATAAATATGAGATTGGCCACATACAGAGAGAGATGCTTAAGATTCCTGAGCTGCTAACAGCCAGTTACCTAAAGCAGCATGGATCAGCCATTCAGACCATTTCCATGCAGAAATCTGTGGCACTGCACTGTCCCATATTTTGTTCCATCTCACTTCTCCTGCCCCTAAAAACCACGTGCTGTTTTAAAGCTGCGATTTGGTTGCAATTCTGGAAAATTCAACGCGTTGAGCTTCTCGAAAGGGTGTTCCAGGTGCACACAAATACATAAAGTTGTATGTAATAACCTCTGTTGTGCCTCCAGCACACAGTCATGCTGAATTTTAGCAGGCTGAAGTACAGTTTCAGGTATGGAACTATGAAAAATCAGGGTTGCTCTCCAGCCTGCAGGCAGCACGACCACTTCGCTAATTTCATTTACTGGAGGTCTGTTCCTCATCAAAAAGAAAACAGTCTGCACAAAGCCACTGACCAGGACCATCAGATCCAAACAAAAAATAACCAAGAGGCACCTAAAAAAGACCCCCAACACCCTCCTTTGGGGTACTAGAAGTAACACAGATATTTCAAAGGGTGTCTACAGTGGTGAGTCCTGGTTGACATCTGTAAGATTTGGTCTGAATTACCTTCCTCATTCATCAGCTGGGTAGACTAGAAAACCCTCCTCTAATAAAAATGTAACACCTCCTGATCAAAAAAGCCAAAATACAAAGTGACTACAGTAACTCTCGTATCAGTTCATGGGCACTGTTAATTTTTATCTATTTTATCAGAGGATGCTATGATTTCCCCTCTGCTGCTCGGTCTGTGTTTGAATATTTCATGCTGTTTTCTTAAGGCAGCTCTTCTTCCTTACTAAGCAATAGTCCTTACTTGTATTTTGCTGTTGGCATCATAGTATTCTTTTTCTGTCTCAGCATAATTGGTGCTATTCTTAATGTTAAAATCAATGGCTTTGAGTTTAGGTCTTTCTCCAAAATATATCCAATCCCTTAAGGAGCAGACACTGTATTTACTGTATTTACTAGATGCACTGTCAAGACTCATTAATAAGTTATTCTGCTGAGTTATTTTATATATAAACTCTGCATCACTACCTACACTGGACAAAAAAAAAAAAGCCCAGTCAGTGTTTTACCACTAAAATAACAGGCAGCTTAAAAAGAAAAACCAAAGGCTTCACATGCTTTCAGATTTTCCTCAGTTAAAACTGCACTAAGACCATGTACAGCTGTAATGTCGACCATCACATCACTCTGGGAAAGACACACCTCCCCTGCCCAGTGCTTTAAGCAATACCCAATTTTGAAAGGAGGTTAATAAAAAATCCTGCAGTACCCCCTGTAATACTGAGCCCAGCATAGGAGAATGTGCTAATTAACTGGTATTTATATGCATATGCTGTAATAAAATGTTATTATTCTGCTGTAGATGCTCGTAAACATCGCACATTTCCCCCAAATACTGCTGTGTAGAGCGTGCCCATATAGACATGTATCCATCTGTATCTATCTGCAGAAGATCTCTCTACCAAAAAAAGGATGAGGTATTTACTTGCATTAGATCAAATTTAGCATTAGATGCCAGACAAATACCACACATCATTTCATTAGCAGCATCTCTGTGGAGGAGCAGTCACGCTGATGACTTTGCCATGACATGACAATATACATTTGCAAAGCAAACACATCCTGTGCATTTGCACCATGCTCGGGGCTGGGGGGGCAGGGGAGAGCTGCCAGCCAGTATGATTGCTAACTTTGCCCACAGACACTAATACAGCACAGAAACACAGCCCCATCTGACCTGTCAGCATGGCCTTTATTCTACTGGGAACCTTAAAAGTGACTGGAAAATGACATCAGATTAAACATCAGTCGGAGGGAGGATGGAATAATCTAGCAAGAGTTTAATCCCTTTACCTAGTGCTCATGCACGATGCTAACACATTTTATTATTCTAAGCAGCACCTAGAAGAAAAGATTCAGTGAAGGGCATCATCGAATTGCTGCAGAATAATAAAGTTTGCCTGCCTGTGACAAGAGTTCCCGATGCATCACCGCCAACTAAAAACAGGATTCTCCCCCCCTCCCCGCACACAAACCTTCAGCCCTCCCCACCCCTCATCCGTCCCGTAAAAAGCATTTAAGGGAGAAACGGCTATTTTTAGAAAGGATGGGGCGGGGGGGAGAAAAGAAATCTCCGCGTACCTTCCAAGCGAGCGAAGCCGAGCGAGATCATTGCCCGGAGCGAGCCGCAGTCGCCGTGTGAGCTCAGAGCCGGGCAGAGGACGGCGGCGGCGGCAGCATCGGCGTGTTGGCACCGCCGGCGCTCGGCTAGGAATGATTCATTAGCCGGCTGCGGGGAGGCAGGGGGGGACGGCGCGGGCGAGCATCATGGGCCATGCAGCAGCTGCCGGAGCCTATGAAACAGCAGTGCCGGCTCGCAGACGCGCACCAAGATGGCTTTCCCCGTGTGCCAGCCTTGCCTTTCACATCGCATTAACCCCGGCGGGCGGCGGGCGGCATCGCGGCGGCGATGCGCTCCTCGCAGGGGCGGGGTGCGGGGGGGAAAGAAGGCGGGTGTTGGGAGATTTTATTTTACCTCCGAGTAATGCTATCGCAGGATCTTCTCAGTAGGTCATCTGTGGCCTGCTGGCACGAACCAATGAACTGTAAATGTGAGCGGCAATTTTTTTTTTTTCTCTCCCCTCCGCTCCCCCCCGGCCTGCCCAATGGAAGGCGCAGAAACTCCGATGCAGAAGGGCATTATAAGGCAGATTACCTGGAGCATCCCAACCCCTCTGCCTTTCCTCCTCCTCGAAACTGCGTGCAGTGAATTCACGCAAAACTTCTGAGGTGCAACAGCATCTCCCCAGCAGCCAGAGGGAGACACTCTAAGGGGATGCAGGGAAAGATTCTAAATAAATCAATTTTTAGAAATCTAGCTTTAATCTTTTTTCCCATCCTATTTTTTGGCCATTTCTTTTTCTCCTCAGCAGAGATGATCCGAGTGACAGGATCTGAGCGCTTCAGGAGTGCATTCACTATAATGTGGTTGAAGCCTCCAGGCTGATGAAGGTTAAACTGCCAAGGAAGCATCTGAAGTTATGTTGAGTGGAACTTCTGCATTTGCCTTTTAGTATTTAACAGGGGAAGGAAATATTGCACTCTCAAGGCACTATTATATTGCATTCTGTTAAAGTATCTGCAGAAATACATCTCTCCATTCAATAATGCCTCTCCTGTAGTTCCTTTTCAGGTACCAGTCTTCCTCCCACCGTTTTACTGACAGGCATGATGAGGAAGAGGAGGAGAATTTCCACAAAAGTTTGGCCTTAACAAAAGGAGTCAGATTTCCCCTAAAGCCTAGCAGTTCTTTACGAAGTTGAAGTGCATGGGGAGTTTCCTGCTCTCCAGGAGCTGTCAGCATCAGGTGCTTCACTGGAAGGAATGCAGAGCCATGGGAGAGGGATTTGTCAGATGATCTTTCTCAAGTTTTGCCCTATCTGGATTTCTAGCTCACGACCAATGTGAACCACGAATCAGGATGTGTTTACCAAACAGCTAAGGAATCCTTCCAGAATGGCATTGCTTATATTTCTGGATATTCCAGTTCTCAGCCATCAATCCATTTGAGCCCCTTACTAAGGCTGTTACCCCCCAAAGCTTCCAGCAGAAGAGAACCACCACTCCCAGCTGGATGAAACACATTTCCCTTCAGAGGTTTGGAATTAAAAGGATGGTGCAGAGTGACACAGTGTGATCTCCCAAGCTACTGACTGCTGCTAAAAAATCTGTCCCTCATTACATGAGTGAAACAGCTAAAGATCTGATCCCTGGTTGCGTGATACTGCAAAAAAAACACGAGCAAAAGGGTCACAGACAATCTGTACTTTCTCCCCTGAAGGTCTGCCTTGGCATATTCTAGAAAGACTAGAGTTTTCTGAATGGAAAGTCTAACATCTAAAAATAAGGCATCCAAGACCACTCTTCTGTGCAAATCTCAGCCCCAAACGACCTTCCATGGGATTACTCATGACTGTGACAGGAACAGAACTCTGGCATTTTGGGAGAGAAAAGCTGTTCCTACTCAGGTTCATATGTTCCTTCCCAGATTAGATTATGACTTCGATCATGAGACAAGTACACTCTTACTTTTCTAACCAGTTTGTGGTATAAATGGTTTTCTTTTTTTATTTTTTTTTTTAAAGCCTAATTTTGGCAAGTTAGATTTTTTTCCCCCCTCAGCTGAGCTCCATGCAAGCTTCAAACTCAAATAAATGTTCCTTCTGACTATATCAGCACTCACCACACTGCAGATCTGCAGCATATGACACAAAGTGATACCAGAAGGTTCCAGGTGACACATTTTGGAAATCAATCTTGTCTGGGCTGGAGACTAAATGAACATAACTGTTCCTTTTGGTGCTTTTGTGCAAACAACCCAAAACTTTGCTAAGCCATCTTGATACTTGAAAAATCAGTGAGATCACTGTAAAGTGGCATTATTAATGTGTTACACTGAACCAAACCAGCTCTTCTCATTGCTTTTCATGGGTGGATTTAAAACATGTATATCTGTATATGGGGGTGTGTGGGTATATATATATATATGTATAAAATATGTAAATTATCATAAACTTTCAGGAAGTCTTGGTTTAAAAATATGGAAAATTACATGAATAAAAATTCAATGAAGTCACTCTGAAAGTAAAATAGCAATCAAGTTTTTAAACTATCAGTACAGATTCACTGCTCTGAAGATTTTAAAGCATATCCTCTATCTCACGTTCAGAGATTTGAGTCATAAAAATTTGACATATGCAACTTGTTATGCCACATCTTGCAGCGTGTTGTTTCAGTAGAACAGGCCAGAATGGTGATAAAACCCTTCCCTTCCTAATTCCAGTTTGTGAATGAAAGCACAGTAAAGGAGCTCACCTTGGCAGCTGCCAAAACACACACAGGGCCTCCTGTGGAGATGAAGGACAGATGTCTCTGAAGCCACAGCAGCTCCTTCTGAGACTGTTTCAGTAACTCCTCTGTGTCTCCCGACTTCTGCCCCATCAGCCCTTCCTGCAACACAGGAAATTTTCAATTTCTGTCTTGTCAAATGTATGGTGACAGTAACACATGGTCTGTCATAGCTGAATTTCTAACTAAACAAGAACATCTGCTATAGCAATGTGACTGTGTTTATGCCTGGGATTTTTTTGGTGTTTAATCTGATGATCTTCTGCCCCCTAAAAACCAAGACATCTCTTCATAGCACCAGAACAACCCACACCTCGAGCACCCTAATGCTTCATGCTTGGGGAACTTCCTCTGGCTATTAATCAGTCCAGTTTAGGTTGAGGTAAAAAAATAAGATGGGCAATTCCAACCTTTGGGAACTGGGAAGTTATTCCTTTTACATGAAATGTTGCTGTAACAAAGGGCTCAGAGGTGCTGCTGGTAGGGCACAAAATTAGTACAAGACAATGGTGAGAAGATTTTGATGCTTGAATAACAATTACAAAGTACAGGAATGCCACTGAGTGTTCCAAAGTAAAAGTTTATATCCCTAGTGAAAGTCTTGAGTCTAAACCAGAAGTAATGTGAATTCACACCCTACAAATGATAATTTACACAATATTTAATAAAAATAAGCATTCTGTTCGAATAAAAAATGGGCAGAAAAAACATTTTTTCTACTTGGTTTTAACGGATCTATCAATAAACTATTTTCAATGTAACTGTTCATCACACAGTTACATACTAAGAACAGAACTGGATTTGTACCTACCCTCAGGCATCCTAGCTGATTTTTGAGTTCTTCACACTCCCCTTGCAGCAGTTGGATCTCCAGATCCTTTATACTTTTGGAATGTTTGTTGATATTTTGCAGATGTTGAGCCTTAACATTGACAAAGTGCATTTTTTGTTTCAGAGGAAGCGTTCTGGTGATTGTTTTTGTGATGACAGCAGTGTTATTGGATGACAATGTCAATGAAGTTGAAGGGTTGACAGCCTGGTAAAGAGAAAATACATTTTTCATGTCATTCTTGCTAAAGCTTTGTCTGAGGGAAAGAATACAATTCAAATCCTTTCAAAAATCGCACCCTAAGTGCATTATTTGATACTTTTCTTCCTCAGATCTTTCATTAAAACTGTAAGTGAGTGAGAGACAATCTCCCATGATCAATCACCGGTAAAGAGATAGGGACTACTCAAAGAAATGAAAAGCAGACAATTTCTTTTCTTTTCTTTTTTTCCCCCACTCAGTGGATTCCAGCCAGCCATGATCCCCACCCATACAGATACTGATGTATTTACCACTTGATGGCAACATAGTGCTGCTGCTTAGCCACGACTTCTGTCCTTCCCTCAGCACACTAATTAGGGAGTTATCCTTGCTGCTGAGCATGCACCTCCGGGATGCTGCATTCCCAAAGGTGTGCTTGACCACGCTGCAAACCCTGCACTGGGATCAGCTGCTGTGCTGCCAAACTCGCTGTGTGAGAGTGGAGGGAGCCACTGAGGCTCCCTCCTGAGACTCAGCAGCTCTCAGCCCACGGGAGAGCTCAGGGGTCGAGACCAGGCAGGAAAATCACCTGCCACTTTGCCACTGCAGGCAAAACAGATTCCACTTGGGGGGAAATTAATTTACTGCCGGTTGAAAAGTAGGTCTGGGTAGTGAGAAACACCGGCAAAAATTAAAACAACACCTTCTCCCCACGCTTTTGCCCTGGCTCAGCTTCACACCTTCGTTCCCAGCTGCTCCACCTTCCCCTGCAGGACAGGTCTCCTCTGGCCTGGGCTGCTCCCCCTCGGTCTCTCCATCCCACTGCAGGGACCCTGCCTGGCTCCTCATCCCCCTGCTCAGCCCTGGCTGCTCACAGGGCCATTTCTCACACTTTCCCCCCAACTCTGAGCATGTTTGGCCCTTTCTGAAATGTCCTTTCGTGAGGAGACAAGAGCTCGGCCGTGTTGGGGGCATCAGGGACCATCCTCAGGTTGCTCTCAAAGAATCCCCCCCAAAACCTGGCACTGCCATCCATCCCACACCTGCATTTGAAATCCAAGGATAAGTGACCCACCAGAGCCTGAGCTTTGCCGAGGTGGCCAATGTGCTCCATCTCCTGTGCCAGCCCAGCCCCTCCCTGGGGAGGGAAGGAGGGAGGGGGGTCTGTAATGTCAACGAGACACAGCTGGGCAAACTGGGCCAACCCACACTGGCCTCTACAGCTTTGAAAGCAAAAAACAGGCTCTAAATTTTGAGTGGTGGAAACTTCTGCCCCAACCTGGAATACTGGGAGATTCTCATAAATTGGTCCTGACACTGTCCTGGAGCAGGTAAATCAGGTGTCACACAGTTCCTGTGCTCTGGAACAACTGATTTGGTCGTGAATGAGGAGTCAGAAAACCAGAACCAACCTGGGGGGTGTTATATCTGCTAAATCTGCACATGCATATTTAACAGATAAATTTCTTCTTTTAAGCATTAAACTGTTGAGTAAATGATACAGTAAAAA